TTTATATCTATATTTACCTTGGACACTTTAAATATATTTGTCAATAAATCTGGAAAAAGATTTAAAAAAAAAACAGTTCCCAGGAGCAGAATTCCTCTATACACTAATATAAGCATATCGTGGCTCTTTGGATGAACAGTTTCTGAGGTCAGTGTTAGATTTTTGTATTAACCCTGGGAGGGCTCCTCAGAGCTCTTACTCCCTGGTTCTTTCATAGGAACTAACTAGTTTACACCCTATGCTATATCTCCAGTAGATGCACAAATTTTCTCCGAATTACTTTTAACCACAACCTCTACTGTTCTTGAAAGCAGCCTTAAATTTAAACTTCACCCTGCAGTTGCAAATGAAGGCAGTTCTTTCAGGAAGAGATTAGGAGCTATCTGCTCCCTGACCCAGTTTTTCCCCTTCTTTTCAGATGCAAAATTCCTGAGGTAGGGGTATAGAACTCTGGGTAGAAACAATGACAAGCTTCTCTCTCTGAGAGACAACCCTGCTCCAGGAGTTGAGTGCTTGGAGAGAAGTTGGAGTGGGGGTGTTGAAGCAATTTATAGTCCTCTCAGCTTGCTTCTCTCCTGGCATGGGACCTCCTCCTCACAGACTGGAGGAAGGGTTGTGCAGGGATGGGGGCAGGATTCTCAATGCAACACACCCAAAGTAGATCCTCCATTCCACAAGTAAATGTTGAGCAGAAGAAGGAAGCTTCTCCCATCCAACCACATTCAGCTGAGACTTAGCCTCAGCAACAGGCAGCAGAGACCAGGATCAGATAAGCAGATGTGATGTCCCTATTGCATAGAAATTCTCCAGTTGGGATATGAAGAATAGAGGAAGACCTGCACTCTTGGCTGCAGCAGTCTGGAGTTGAGTCTATGGCTTACTGGGTTGGGATGGAGCAGGAAGGGTGTATAGTCTTGGTTCAAATACCACAAAGTCTAGCTTTTCTTACCAAATTTTCATAGAATTTCTTAAGTGGTTATTTCTCCACTTGTTGTTTGCCTTTAGGACCATTTCCAGAGGCTTTAAATAATTGTTTTTATATACATATGATTTTTACCTCTTGCAATGGGGAGTGAGTCAACTCCCCATTGTCCACCCTTTATTGTCATGCCAGAAGTTGATCTATTTCAGTTGCATTTATTTTTTAGTTCTACACAGCCCTTCCAAAAGTATTCACCTTTGATTCTCTCTCCTAAATCTAGAATTTTCTATAATTTAATACTGTCCATTTAAACAGTGACTGCAAATTTTATATCAGTCCTCTCAAATATTCAAACTCTTAGTTTCTAGGAGATTAAGAAATTGGGCTTTTGCTGTGCAAGTATCTAGAGTGAACACTCAGACTCTGGTATTAGTTACAATTTTTGTCTAAAATTAGGTAACAGAACATCTTTCTCCACTACTGTCCTCTTTCATTATTTTTGTCTATGGGTTAGTCTAAGTTCAGGAAGAAAGGATGGGATGGCAAAGTTGGAAAGAGGAAAAATTGCTTCAATCTGAAGTCCACACAGACTCTGAACTCAAAGGAAGCCATTAGTAGGATTTCCTGTTGCTATGGGGTTGATTCATTATGAGGTAGTCATCTTTTGCTGAAGCCTGGCTGGCTTCCTTGAAAACAGCGGTCAGTAAGTGACTAACTAGGCCTAACGAGACTAATCCCAACACAGGAAGCCACACAATGATGAGAGACCTGAGGACGCCCAAAGGAAATCAATAGGATGTACTCTTGAATTCTTCCAGGAGTTGGCTTGGCCAGCCAAGACTCCTGGAAATCTTTCATGAGTGCTAGTAAGAACCTTTCTGCCAAAGGGCTCCAAGAGATAATTCTTAAAATTTTGGATGCTTAGGTTTGCAATGCTTGTTAACTTTTAATTCCAGTTGGCATTGTGCCTTGAAAAGATGTTTGCAGAAAGGGTTCTCTACGAACATTCTTTGTGAATAGTAATACTTGCATGGTAGTTATTCTACATTTGTCTCCCCCAAATCCATTCTACCCATTCTTCTGTGCCTGGATCTTTGTCCTCTGAAGCTGACCCATGCAGATTCATCGCCATGCTCCAGCACCCTGTGGACTAGTTTCCAGCTGGGTTTGGACAAGGGAAGATATCAACATGAAATTGGAGGATGTGAAAAGAGAAAGACTGCACTGTTTCTTCACTGGTCCCTCCCTGGAAGTAGCTGTGTCCCAGGACTCTCATTGGGCCTCTAGAAATACTAATTCCTCTCCAAAGAGCTTCTGGCTGTGCTGTTTCTGTGTGCTTCATCATCACATTTGTTCCCATAACTGTGCCCACATCTTTTTAAGTAGTCTCTTCATATGATCCATTTATACTGGCTTCTGTTTCCCGTTGGGTCCCTAACAATTACATTTTAAAACTTATATGTATCATTGTTTTAAGCCTCACCATAACCCTGCAAGCCATTATTATCATTATTAACTCATTTACAGATAAGGACATATAACTTACATAAGTAACACACCCAGAGTCACACATCTAGTGAGTCACAGAGTTGGGGTTAGAATTCTTGTTCTTCTAACAAAAGCCATTTTCCTTATTTCATTTAAATTTATAAACAGGTTCTATTTATATTTTTCTTCCAGATGTTTTATTTAAGTATAAGTCAAATTTTATGTCCGCTGTCTTATAAGCATATTAAGTCAAAGCCCTTATTTGAAATGGACGTTGGTGAAATTCACAAAGAAATTGCTAAATTCAAGTACAGTATCCCTGACTGATAAATTTTAATGACTATAGTAAAAATGAAAGATTTCATTCAAAACAATGATAAAACTTGATAATCTGCTTTTGCCAGATGCTACTATTAAGTCTTCAGTGTTTTAGCAGATTCCCTTGTTGCACTCAACAAACATTTCCAATCCTCTTTCCCTCTCTTTAACACTTTAAAGGCCAGTTTTCCCAGACTCCTTTCACAGGATCTGTGGCCTGGTGACCTCCGTCTTCCTAATGAAAAGTAGTTCCTTCACTGATAAAGTGAAAGAACTACTTTTCTTTGGCCTATCCCTCTTTCCATGATTAGAACAATGGTATAATGCCTGGATTATAACAGTCATCTTGTAACCATAAGACAATATAAGTATCTCCCACATGCTTTATAATTCTATATACTTATACTAAAAAGAATTATAATTTTACACATATTTGTATGAATATATTCAGTAAAGAGCTATAGACTCATCTTAAACACGGAGTTCTGCAAACTCTTAAACTTCTGAGTTTTGTTATGTTTTATCAAATGTTGAATGGATAAAAAGAATATTTCTAAAATATATGCATGTCATAAAGAAAAACAATACACTGACTGCCTAGGTAACTACGGTTTAGGAAAAAGAATGTCAGAGACAATCTCTATTCTAGATTTTATGTTTATCCATCCTTGGTCACTTGAATAATTCCCTTGCTTTCCTTTGTTCATCTTTATGCCCCTTGAAAGGCTAGGAATTGAAATAAGAACTTTACCTTTTTAAATCCATGTTGTTAACCCTTTATCTTTTAAAATACAGTAAAGATTTTATTCAGTGAAGCCTGCATCCTCAAATTACAAGGTGAAGGGACTAATGCAATATTAAAAAGTTAGGTGCTGGTTATATTGGTAATCACAAAGCTCCGAGGAGGGCAGAGAAGTTCATCTTTTCAGAGCTACTTAGATAAGGAGTACATATGGGGAAGAGAGGTCTTACTGTTAGGGTTGTGGGGTAGGTCTTTTTGTACTCTTAGAGTAGCTACTTCAACTTTGAAGTTTCTGAAGGGGTTCCCCTGCCACTCCCTCAGCTCAGTCCTAGGCAGGCAGACCTCTGCCCCAGCCTCCCTCCTGAGATCCCGCATATGCTTTCTTGCTAAATGACTCTTCCAACCGTTATCTCCTCACGGGATACATCTGTTGGGTGCCTCGCATCCTCAGCTCTGCTTTCATCTTTTCGCTGCTCAACACATTGTTTCCTCCAGTCCTGGTGCCAGGGTGGAAGGGAGCCATCCCGCTCGGCCGCGCTCTGGGATTGGCAGCGAATGAATGATTGGCAGCGGGCATCTCTGTCAGGGCTTTGGCATGCTGCAGAGTAGAAGCCCTGTGCTAATGAATGCCATCTACACCTACCAGATGTGCCACTGGGTGACATGCCAGATCTTTTACATAATGCCATTCTGCCGGACTTGAGACAGCTGGGGGGGGGGGGGGAGGTGTAGTTTAATGGCTCGGGGTGGGAGTGGGCCTGCCTTTCTCTCTCTTTTTTTGTAAATTCAGACCTCCCGCCACTACCCATGCACCCAATCAGCTCCCCTTACATTCAGCTAAAACCGTGGCTGAGGGCATCCCCGCCACACATAGCTCCGGAAGCTGGAGAGCTTTGTTCCCGGAACTTCTCTGGGCCCGCTCCCACACTCGTCCTCTTTTCCCTCCCTTGCGTTTGCTCCCCGCCCCCATCCAAACTCAAGGAAGGACGAATTATTATTTTTTTTAAGTCGTGAAAACATTAGACGAATTTGAAACAAAAAGAGGGGAGGAGAGAAACCACATTTATTATAATTCGGAAATAATTGGTAATAATTGGGAAATCCCCCTCCCAACTATTCTCCCCTTCCCTACGCTACATGTGCGAGGATGAGCTTCCCTCACCCCATCTCCTTCCTTTTCCACACTCCATCGGAAACCAAAAGTATTTCTTCCCAAGGGCGATGCCCGGTCAGTGCCTGCCTGGTTGAAGCAGTGCCTTAGTGCGGAGGTGTCCAAAAACCCATGCTGTTTGGAGAGGAATGTTTCCTGGAGCGGGATGGGCTGGGTGGGAGGAGAGGGAAATGGGAAAACCACTTCTGAGGGAAAGCGGGTGTGCGCGCGTGCAGGAGTGTTTTGGTTCCCACCCTCCGGTCTCCCCACCCCGTGAAGGGTGCGGGGGCGTGGGGACGACTCCCAAGCTGGTGCCCAGCCTTTCGCTAGACTGCCCCGGGACTCTGGGGACTTTGGAGCCGCAGGCCTCTGCTCCTCCTCCTCCCTAGGGGCCGCACACCCCACACAAACTCTCCCGGCACACACACTCCGGCACTGGGGCCGAGCGGGCGCTGCTCCCACGCTCAGAGCCCGGCCCTAGTGCCTCGCGGGCCCAGCCGCCAGGTCCTTAGCGGAGCACCCGCACCCCCGCCCGCTGCCGAGGCTCCACTCCAGATGGCGACTCCTCCAGCCCCCAGACGCCGCCCGGCAGCAGCCGGCGGTCGCTCCCTCCCTCTCTCCCAGCTGCTGCGGCGAGACAAGGCGCCTGGCAAGGAGGGAGAGCTCTACTGCAGGCTCGGACTGGGGCGGGAGCCGGACCTCCGAGGGGTACGCCGGAGTTGTGGGAGCGGGGAAGGAGCCCCGCAGGCACCAGGTGAGAAAGCCGCGGGGGAGCGCGCAATGGGACAGCCTGACTGCTCCCGCACTGCCCTCACATCCCACTCGGACCCCTGCCCTTCCTTCTTTGCCGCACCACCACCACGCCTCTGCGCCGCGGGCTGGGCAACCGCGGCTGCAAGGGAGCACCCTCGGGGCCACGGGAAAGCGGCGCGCAACCTCCAGGAGGGGGCGCCCCGCATCGCAGAGCACGGTGCTAGAGGGCAGCTCTGCATGAGCGTCAGCCCCCACCCACTGTAAGGCTGTCTTGTCCTGAAAGGTGCCCCCTACTGCTGGAGAACAGTAATGCCCACCAGCTGAGACACCACTTTTCTCATTTTTCCTCTCTTCTCAACACCTCTCCTTTCCCGCTTCGCATTTGCTCTCCCCCCCCCCGCCGCCCCCGCCCCACAGTCTTGCTTGCAGGGCTACTTTCCTTTTCCCTGGCTCCTTGCATCCTGGAACTTTGCTCTCCGGCCCCTGCTCCTTCAGCCTCTCGCCAAGGGTTTGTCCGCTCTCTGGGGGTGGTGGGGAGGAGAATGTACTTCCTGCCTAGGCTCTGGCTGATCTCTTCAGGTGCCTCCCTGGGTGCCCGAGAAAGCAGTCCTGAGAATGGCAGACTTGCGGAGGTGAGGGCATTCTCTTCCCGGCTGGGACCTCGAGGCTCTTTGATTTCGTGGTGAGTGGTGCTTTTGGGAGCAGCGCTTCCCCTGAATGCGGAGTTCGGAACTTCCCTTACTGGATGAATGTATGAAGTTCAGTGGCTTGGTAATGATCCCCTTTCTCCCACACTTGAGAGCATCCTCCCCTTACACCTGCCCTTAACAACCCAAAATCCTCCACCCACGGCAGTCCTCACGGCGGTCCTCCGAAGCAGTTGTGCTGGGGCGGGGTGAGAGGAGGAAGAAGCTAAAAGGCCCGGTCGCCTGGCGCCAGGCGCGCACCTGACGTCTCTCTAATCCCTCAGAGATCGGGTGTGTGTCCACGATCCTCTGCTTGCCCCTGCGCTGGGCATTAGACCCCGAGAGCACGTTTCGTAAGCTCCCAGCACAAATCCCCTGGGAAACATTAATCAGAACCAACAGTAAATGCAAAATGTGTTTTCATGCCATGTCTTCCTTTTAATCCAGAACGTTATTCTGGAAGCAGCAATAGACAGGGGCTCTATTAGTCCCTTACACAAGGAAATACAATCTCTGACCTACTAGACTCTTGCAATTTCACGAGGAGTTAGCCTCACTAGAAGCATGTTCAAAGACAGAAGGAAAACTGTGAGACTTGAGGCGCGTTGGCCCAATAATGAGGTGCATTTCAATCCAAAGGCGCCCCAGAAGTGGAGTGGATCACTGGCCAGGAGTCCTGAAATTCCGAAGGAGCTGCGGAGTGTGCTTTGGGAGGGCGGGGAACCGGCGCCTAGTGAGTTAGGAGCCCTAGAGGAACCCAGTTCTCTCTCCACTGAAGGCTTCGGATCCAAGTGACCTAATCTGGGGACTGTCCCCTTGCCACCCCTCTAGAGAGGGAGCGACCCCACCCGCAAGACCCCCTGAGGTCTGTACGTCGTACTTGAGATTTCTCTATCATGTCCTTCAATCGATCATATTTCTATTCTCCCATTTTATTCAAAACCGTCTTCCAGTTTCCTCATAATCATAATTTGCACCATTGCCTTTTATCTTTGATTAATTAGGAAATCGAGAAAGATAATGAAAGGTCATGCCAATAAATTAGCTTTAGGAACCAACGGACGGGATGTCTGGAGCAGCTGTGTGGGTGGGCACTGCCCACAGAGGCTGGTGGGGGTCGCCTCCTGCGCCGCAGTTTGGGCTAAGTGGAGAGATCCTCTCCAGGATAAACCCAGTGAGAACGAGACTTTTCACCATAGTAGCTGGAGGGCCTCCTGTGAATTTTAGCTTTTCCTGTTTGAGTCTAGAAAAGGGGAGAGGAGAGATCTTGGGGTAGGGTGAGGGCAGGACTCTGGTTCTTTCAAAGAGGCGTTCTTTCTGGCCTAAAATTCCGATGTTTTTAGGCGGGGATCGTGGGGTTGGAGAGGTCTATTTCTTCGGGGGATGGCAAGTTAGGTTTACTTTTTTTTGCAACCTTTCTTTCCCTGTCCATTAGTCTATCAATAGGGTAGAAGGTAGGGAGAGGGGGGGAGAGAGAGAGAGGAAGAGAAAGAGATTGGGAGATTCTGTTATTCCTATTAGAGCAGTTACTCCCTGGCCAAAGAGGGGGAAGCTAGTAACATGGAGCTGCTCCTGCGGTGGCAGCGGTACTGGAGGGTTCTGGGCTCACCCCCCAACCCCCATAGCCATGAAATCGATCACGCCTCCCAGACGGCTGAGAGAGAGCACTTTGCCACTCCTCACAGTTTCGCCCCAGCCTCTTAAGCTTCCAATTGAAAACCAATTAAAGGTTTCTATAAATCTGTTAGCTCTCCTTTTATCTGGAGACCCCTGATGCATGCGATATTGCCCTTTAGATGCCTCTTCCGTGTTTTGTTTTACAATTGTTGTATCAATATAATGCCGTCTTTCTTCCCGTCTCTATAGATACAGATACACAAGGAAAGCCAAAGCTATTCAGTCTCCTCATTTGTCCAGCAGCCGAACAGTGGTGCCCTTTCTCTGCTGCTGCTTTCCTTGCTTCGGGAGCATCAGTCGTGGTAGAAGCAGATGGCTACTGATTGGGGGAGCTTTGTGGCTCTAATACTGAATACTTTATGGAAAAGGGCTTTATCGTGCTCCATTGGGCAGACAAACAGGGGATGAGATTTATGGCCAGGAAAAAGAAATCTTTTCCAAGTTGTGACTCCTTCTCACTAGTTTCCTCCTTTGCTTGGGGCTCACAGCACTGAGGAATTGGTTTTATTTTATTTTATTCTCCTTTCTGCTAACAGTATTCTTTGGTCAGAGTCTGAGAGGACAGGATACTAAAAGCCAAAAGTTCATGAAAAACACCTTAGATCAGCGATTTTCAACCAGTATGCCACAAAAATTTTTAAAACATGCAATACCTGACTATTTAGTCAGGGGCACTGACCTCTTTTTCCTTAGAGTGTCAAATTTAAAAAAAAAAGGCAACAGCCAATGCAACAATAGCCATCTGGCATGACTGAATCAAAATTATACCTATTTTTTGGTCAGATAGGCAAAAAATATAATTTGGGTGTGCCACAAAATTTTAGTAATTAGTTTATGTGTGCCATCAGATGAAAAGGGTTGAGAACCATTGCCTTAGATTGTTGTTGCTGTATCAGCATTCTCTGCCCTCAAGAAAAAAGCAGATGAGTCAGGTGCTGAACACCATGTTCAGGAGGGCCACGTTTTCCTGGATGTCCTGTTAGTTGTGAAGAAAACACCATCATCCATTATCTTACTATGGATAGAGAACAAAAGAAAAATGTAAGTGCTCCCATCAGAAAAGTCAGAGGAGGACCCTGGTATTGAAGGAGTGAGGCAGTGATGAGGCATGTGGTGTAGATATGCTTACCCACTCTGAAAGGGTCTGAGTTATAAGGATGATAAGGGATGTCCATTAATGTATCATATTTTTTAACTATAAGACACACCTTGCCCCACCCCACCCCCCAAATTTGGGAAGAATAGTGGTTGTTAATGCTGCTGTTGAGTTCTGTTTACATTTACATTGGTGAAATATTGTGTTATGTTATTACATATTTTACCACATTTTTTTGCTTCAAAATTTTTTTCCTATTATCCTCCTCTAAAACCTAGGTGCATCTTATGGTCCAAAAAATATGGTAAGTGTTTGGGCTCCAAACTGAATTTTCAAGCTTTGGGGAACATACGGATTCCAACCTTCCACTGGAGGCCTAATTCACCGTGTCCTTGGCCATGACATAAAGATACACAGAAATGCTCCCAATATGCCTACTGTTGGCCAAGCACAGAAATGGAAACCAATCCAAGGCTGGGTCTTCCACTCTACTTCACACTGACTCCTGGTCTCCTTACTATGTGAATATGTGAAAGGTCATTTTTGACAGAACAAACACTTGTCAAACACCTTCCATATTCTCAGCTCCATTCCTCAGTCTTTGCTATTCTTTTACCTTGTCACTATAAATTGAAAAGGAAAGAACAGGAGAGGCATGGAGCTTCCAGAAGTGTTACCTATCTTTCTGCCCCAAGCTACTCTTCCCAATTCTGTGCACACTGCCATCCCACATATTGGCATGCACCTCTGCACGTTGTTTCTCTCTGAAGAAGAGAAAAAGTGGAGTGGGAGAGGTACAATTTAAAAATTATATTTACCCAGCATTTCGAAGTGGCAGGCACTAAGATGTTTTAAATAATTAACTGTTTTTGGCTCTTACTTTATGTTAGGTTGAATGCATTGCCATGCTTATCATATTTAATTCTTATGACCTTTTGAGTTAAGTATTATTATCCCTAGGTCACAGATCCACTTCCTTCACCGCAAGCAGTGGCTAATGAACCCAAGCAACCAGTCCAGCTGATAAGTGAAAACAGGCTTGTCCTTGCAATACTCTTAGCCGCCCTATGAGGGAAATGTTGTTTTTGCTATTTTACAAATGAGGGAACTAAAACTTCAGAGAGGGTAGGTGATTTGCTCAAAGACACACAGCTAGCAGATTGCAGATCTGAGTTAAACCTGTTTCGGATTCCAAATTGCTTGCTTTTAACCGACTGCCTCTCAGATCCTTCGAAAGAAAGCTTAACGAGGATCCCACTGACCCGCTGACCCTGTACTGGGCTTCCTGCCTGGGCTGGACGTTTCAAGCCTCAGGTGACCGTAAAACGCCTCGCTCCGGGGGTGGGCTGCGCCAAAGCAGCGCTCTCCCCGCCAGGGTTGGCTGGGACGCGGTACCGTCCTCTACGCCCACAATGCTCCGCGCACAGCCGTGTGCGTGCGTCGGGGGCGGGGCTTGGCGGCAGTCGGCCTGGAGCTGTCAGGCTCGAAGCCCGGATGCCCGCGCGAGGATGCAGGCCCTGGCGCGGAAGTGCTTCGTCCCGC